TCCCTCCCTCCCTCCGCAGTCCTTACCCTAAATCCGTGGTCTCTTCATCTTGTCTAGAAGTTGCAGGTTCAGGCCAGGTATCCTGGCTCCAAGCCAGTGCCAGGCTCACCTTTGCAGAGCTGAATCACTTTTTTAAAACACTTGTTCTCTCTGGCTGTAAAGGGAAGCCCAGAAACAAATCCCACAGGGACAGGAGGTTGGTTTTCCTGCTGTTCCTCTTGGCAGGTGATGGTACATTTAGGACTCCCGTGTGAATTTGTTGTGTTGTGGCTGTCTCAGTCAGGATCCAAGGAGTTCCTGGCCTTGGCTGTGCCAGTCCTGCAGCGCTGGCTCTTTACAGGATGTGTGGGATTTAATGTGTTCTCCTTCCTCCAGATCATCAAAGATGGGGAGGAGCACGAGGACCTTAACGAAGTAGCAAAGCTCTTCAACATCCACGAAGACTGAACTCCGCAGCAGGAACAGCCCGAGGGCGTGGGCTGCTGGCTCTGTGCACCCCTGCACCTCAGGCAGCTTCCTGGGAGCACTTGGGAATATTCCACTCACCCAAGCCCACTGTTTGCACCAATAAAGTCAGATTGTTGTAGTCACCTGCTCCTTCCTGCACCACTGCCTGGCTGGTGGGGAAAGGGGAACATGCTGCCCCACTGGGGTCAGTTTTCCCTTGTGTCAGCCTTGGAGAAGCCTGCAGAACTCCCTCTTTCCTTGCAGGAATTCCCACTGGGGAGCAAGCAGGCCTGCAGGCTCTCTGCCTGTTCTCCAGCCTGTCGAAACAGACTCAGCTTGGGGAAATCAATTATCAATCAAAATCAGAGCACAATGATGAGAAGTAAAACAAATCTTAGAAACACTTCCCCTCCCTCCCTTTCCTTCCTGGGCTCTCCTTCCTCTCTCCCATCGTCATGGGGAAGGAAACGGGGAATGGAGGCCGTGCTCAGTTCATCACACGTTCCTGTCCCTGCTCACAGAGAGGGGCTGTAGTCCTTCCCCTGCTCCAGTGTGGGGTCCCTCCCTCAGGAGCCTGTGCTCCATGAACTTCTCCAGCAGGAGTCCTTCCCATGAGCTGCAGTTAAACCTTTTATCCCCGAGGTGTCACCACCATCTCTGCTGGGCTCAGCCTTGGCCAGCAGTGGGTGCATCCTGGAGCTGGTGGCATTGGATGGGCATTTGACATGGGCAAAGTTCTGGCAATTTCTTACACAATCCATCCCTCTAGCCCCCTTGCTGTCAAAACCTGGCCATGCAAACCCAACACACCTGACAACTGCATTGGGTGATGCAGGGCCTCGTGGTGCCCCTGGGCCATTGTGACACAGCAGAGCCCCATCCTGCCTGTGGGGTGTTTAAGGAACTCCCCTGGGGTGCCCAGTCAAGCAGAACACCTTGCTCAGGAAGTAGCAGCCTCCCAGGACACCTCTGGAAAAGGAGCCATGGAGGAGCAGAACGCCAGTCCCAAGAGCTCCAAGGAGAAGGACCACCTGAGAGATAGAGGGAGTGGCCAACAGGAGGATGGCACCAGGCGCACCAGCACCCTGCCCCGGCAGCTGCCTCCATCCCACACCTCTTCCTCCTCCCGTCCACAGCTGCGGCAGCTTCAGGCTGGCCAAGGCCGGTCCCTGCACCGACTGACATCGCCCCACAGCACCCAGGGCACCCAGGGCCGGTCCCTGCACCGATTGACAACACCCCACAGCACCCAGGGCCGGTCTCTGCACCGACTGACAACACCCCGCAGCACCCAGGGCCGGTCCATGCCCAGGCTGACATCACCCCGCAGCACCCAGGGCACCCAGGGCCGGTCTCTGCACCGACTGACAACGCCCCGTAGCACCCAGGGCACCCAGGGGCGGTCCATGCCCAGGCTGACATCGCCCCGTAGCACCCAGGGCCGGTCCATGCCCAGGCTGACATCGCCCCATAGCACCCAGGGCCGGTCCCTGCACCGGCTGACATCGTCCAACAGCTCCAAGGGCCAGTCCCGGTCCCAGCTGACATCGCCCCGCAGCACCGAGGGCCGGTCCGTGCCCAGGCTGACATCGCCTGGTAACTCCAAGGGCCGGTCCTGGTCCCGGCTGACATCGCCCCACAGTACCAGGGACACTGAGGCCCGGTCCCGATCCCAGCTGACATTGCCGAGGAGCACCAAGGGCCCATCTGTGTCCTGGCTGACATCACCCGGCAGCTCCAAGGCCCGGTCCCAGCTGACATCACCTGGCAATACTGGGGACACCGAGGACCAGTCCATGCCCAGGCTGACATCGTCCAGCAGCTCCAAGGCCCGGTCCCGGTCCCGGCTGACATCACCTGGCAATACCGGGGACACCAAGGGCCGGTCCCAGTCCCAGCTGACATCGCCCAGCAGCTCCAAGGCCCGGTCCCAGTCCCGGCTGACATCACCTGGCAATACCGGGGACACCAAGGGCCGGTCCCAATCCCAGCTGACATTGCCCGGCAGCACCGAGGACCAGGCCATTCCCAGGCTGACATTGCCCGGCAGCTCCAAGGGCCGGTCACGGCTGACATTGCCCGGCAGTACCGGGGGCACTGAGGGCCAGTCCCGGTCCCGGCTGACATTGCCTGGCAGCACCGAGGACCAGGCCATACGCAGGCTGACATTGCCCCATAGCTCCAAGGGCCGGTCCCAGTCTCGGCTGACATTGCCCAGCAGCACCAAGGCCTGGTCCCGGCTGACCTTGCCCCACAATACCAAGGACACCGAGGACCCCTCCGTGTCCCAGCTGCCATCGCCCCGCAGCTCCCTGGGCTCAGGGGGCACCGAGAGCCGTCCCAGCCCGGACAAGGGGGAACAAGGCCCGTGGGGGCGCAGGTCCCACCCTGCTGGCTCCTCACAGCCGCCCGTGAGGAGCCGCCGGGCCTGCAGCGGCCCAGTGGGGCCAGAACCGGTGAGGGCCGAGCACAGAGGGCCAGACCAGGCTTCCCCTTCCCGCAGCACCGCAGGCCCAGCAGCTCCTGCACCCCTGTCCCAGCGCTGCTGCTGGGGGAAGCCCAGTGCCCTCTACAAATCCCCACCTCTCCTTCCAGGCCTCCGTGAGGAAACCATCTCCTGACCCACAGAGAGAGGCCTCTCACCGTGCCGAGCAGGAAACCCAGACGGAGGCCTGGGCCCAAGAGGTGGATTCAGCTGTTCAATACACTGAGCAGATGACACAGACACATCTTGTGGCAGAACAGGAGAAAAACTCAGCTGCTCCCCTCATGGTTGACCAGAAGACACAGACTGAGACTCCAAGACAAGTGAATTCAGCTTCCCCTCAAACCAACAAGAGGACACAGAGCAAGGCCCACGGCTCTGCCCGCTCCACAGGCACTGGTGCCCCCGCTCAGCAGCAGCCGCCCTCGCAGCTGTGCTGGGCGTTCTGGCGCTCCTGCACATCTGGACAGCCTCCTGCTGCCAGCACCCTGCAGGGGCCCGGGGACAGCCGCTGCTCCAGGCAGCCAAAACGTCCTGAGCGCGGCACGCCAGAGAAGTGGGGATGGATGACACTGCCGCCCTACTCCTGGCCATGGCTCATTGAGATGAATCAGTTTTAATAAAATATTTCATTCCTCTAATCGTGCCCACCTGTGCCTGGTCCATCAGGAGAAAGTCGGCTGCAGGTACGGCCCGTGCTGAGCGGGAGAGCCCCCATGCTCCTCCAGCCAAGCAGAGCCTCTGCCAGGCTTCAGATCCCCGGGCTGGTGCTGGTGGCCAGCCCTCAGCTGAACCCTATCAGCTCCCTCCCACCCACCTGCTATCCAAGTGAACATTTCGGAGCATAAATTTGGCGAGTTTTCCCTAAGGCTTCACCTGCTTAGGCCCATGAGGAGTCTCCCTGGTGTGGGGGTAGGAGCACCTCTCCCCCTCTCTTTTTAAGACCAGCCTTGACTTCTCCTGTACCACTTTGGGGAGTTCCTCTTGGTGGTGTGTGGGCAAAGCTCTCCTCCTGGTCCTGGCATCAGGGCATTCCTGCAGCCCTTTCTGAAAACAAACAGAACTACAGCATTGCCCTGAGCTCCCTCTGCTCCCTCAGGGGTGAGTAAAGCCAGCCAGGGGCCAGCTGCCCCACGGACGGGCTGGTGGGGCTGGGGCCAGACAGGGCTACCCCAACATCGGTGTTTGAGGATGGCTGGGCTTGGCTGCAGAGCTCCCAGCAGCAGGGTCACGCAGGAAGCTGGCAGGAGCAGGGAAGGCTCCCTGTTTTTCCAGCTGTGCAGACACACGGGCCCTGCAGGTCCCACTTCCCCTCTCCCTTCCCCAAGCCACAGACTCAGGCTGACACGCACAGAAATCTGCCTGGACACGGAAAAAAAGGCAGGAGCCAGGGAGCCTGATGCAGGTTTTTTCTGTACATCAGTGTTTTTGACACCACAGCCTGTTGCTGCATATAATAAAACAGAAATCAGAAAGAGCAACCAGAATACACACCCAAAGGCAAAAAACCCTTGGCTTAAAGAAAGTGCTGCCGGGCCCCCGGGGGAAGGCTGGCAGCAGGGCTCCAAGGGGGGAAAAGCCTGCCCTGGCTGGGGAGAAACACAACACAAAGAAAAAACGAACCAACAAAAAAACTCACCCAAGGCTCCCGCTGCCAAGCGGGGAGAGCCAGAAATCCCCCGATTGTCCCGACCTCAGTCCTGTTAGCACCTGTACAATAAAACTGTACCGGCCCCGAGGCAGAGCAGCCCGCGCCCGCTCCCGCACACAGCGGCTCCCGCACACAGCGGCTCCCGGGACAGCGGCGGGCGCGGGGCA